GCAATTTCCATCAAATAACATTACGGTGTGTCCTCATCTACCTTATTCACTGGATCTGGCACCATGTGACTTCTGGCTCTTCCCCAGAGTCAAAATGACCATGAAAGGTAAATGTTTTGAACCAATTCAGGACATCTAAGCAGCCATGACAGCGCAACTAAAGACATTCATGAAAGAGAACTTCCAGAACTGCTTCAGAAAGTGGCAAGAAGGATGGGATAAGTGTGTTTGAAGCGAGGGGGGAATATTTTGAGGGGGATTAATGGCAATGGGTCTTTTACTAATAAAAAATTTTTTTTAATTTAAACATTCACTGTATTTTTTTATCATTCCTTCTATAAGTTCCCTATTAGATATATGATTTGCAAATATTTTTTCCCATTCTGTGGGTTGTCTTTTTATTTTCTTGATGGTGCATGGTTATAATTTTGATGAAGTTCAATCAGTATATGTTTATTCTTTTGCTTGTGCTTTTGGTGTCTTATCTAAGAAGACTTTGCTGAATCCATGCCAAATCCAAAGTCATAAAGATTAACCGTTGTGTTTTCTTCTGAGTTTTATAGCTTTAGTTCTTACATTTAGATCCATTTTGAGTTAATTTTTGTGGATGGGGTGAGTTAAGGGTCTGATTTCATTGTTTTGCATGTGGCAGTTTTAATCAAAGTCTAAAGTGTTTAAATTTAAGATTTTAAAAGTGAAGCAGGTTTAGTTTAAAACCTGCATAGCCGTTCTAGGTGTCACCGTAAGAAACATCCAAACCTGTAAAGAATTTTTGTAAAAGTTTATTTGAGCAACATATGTCAGGGAGTAAGATCTCAAGTGCTTTGGAGAATACAGTTTTGCAGCTTCTTTTATGCATTTGAAATTAAGAAGGGAATTTAAGGAAGATTATGTGGAGGTGGGAGAAAGCAAGGCAGGGATTGGATTATAGGATACTTAACAGGATTATGTTCTCTTCTGAGGATAGCTTATTTCAAATATTTGTTAACTTATATGCACAGAAGCAATGAACAGGGCTTACTTAAGGCAAAAATAAACCTTTTACTACAGAAGTTATATGCCTGAGGTGTGACTACCCACCATGACCTGCCTCGTTAGGAATTTATGATCAAGTCACTCTGTGAGGTTACTTTCCATAGAACCCCTTTTTTCATCCACACAGGTAAGACTGGTCTGAAGTGTGGCCATGCAAATGGATGACTGACATAGAGGTGAAGACTGAACTCATTGCTGAAGTCTTCAAGTCACTGATAGGGTGGGCCCAGGCAGAGGCATAGAGATATAGCCAGGGGATAGGAGCCCCACAGGAGCAGGAGTTTAAAACGAGGCTGGAGGTGTTAGATCTGGAAGAGACATTGAGAACGAGGAAGACACCACCTCCACCCCTTACTCTGAAATAATGTGTGGAGTGGGAGAATGAACTGAAAGCCTCTGCAGTGAGAATTCTGCCAGGGAAGCAGTCGCTTCAGGGATGAGTTAGGCTTTAGAGCTGAGAAGAGTGTTCACTGAAATGGTGGAATTAGCAGTAAGGGTGTTGATGTCAGCCCTCAGCCAAAGCAGCATGACCCTAGGGTAGCACTTTGGCTTTAGTTAGACCAGACTTTGACTCTAATTTGGAATCTCCTCAGCCCTGTGCTATTTGTATTTTTCTGTCCTGCCCTGGATACAAAATTAGTTTCTCATTTGGAATTAAAAAGAGTTGCCTCATTTGACATTCTACCACAGACCACAGGAGGTGGAGCATAAAACAAAGTTCCCTCATTAATCATGCTGATATTATTTTAAGATGTTTGAATTCATCCTGTGTGTGTGTGGTGGTGGTGGTGGTGGTGGTGGGGGGATGTAATGAATTAAGGTCACATATACACACCAAGCAAGATTCTTGCAATTTCTGCTTCAGAACCTGCAGGGAACTATAGGATCAAGGAAAGAACTGAATGATTACCACCCACCTATTTCCGTCTCAAGAGGAGGGAAAACTGATACCAGTATCACCTTTCTGGGAATCCTAACCCAAAACACTTATAGGCCAAAATACCCAGATGGCGAACAGGGAAGAATGGGGAAGGGAAATTAATTAGCTTGTGTGGGCCAATCAGGCCAACTCAACTGTATTTGAAGAAGAGGCAGAAACTTAGAACTTGAAAGCTTCTTGCTTCATCAGGCATCTTACAGTGAGTCTCTGATAAGATTCCTGAGGCCAATCTAGGTCTGGAGTTCAGGTCAAGTGTCAGACCCAGGAGAATAAGAGACCAGCTATCCATGTGTCTGCCTGGTGGCAAAGATGTATTGGTACGCTGTCATGTTAACTCAGCAATGGGGACTAGACCACCTTCCCTCAAATCATTTCTTTCTCCTCATAGGTCTCTAAACCTACCTCCCTAGCCTATAGCTCTGCCTCCTTAGGTCCAAATCCTGGGAGGACAAGGAGATGAGAGTAACTCTGTTCTAAAGCCATTCCTCTTAGCATGAGCCTTAGCTGCTCCTTTTGCTTGCCTAGAACTAGCCACACCTAACCCTTTCTAGTGGCCCCTACTTTTAGAGGATGGCCTAAGGACCCTCCTTTGTGTGGACAGACCCAACACTTTCTTTGTCACAAGCAGGATTATCTAATCTACATGTGGCAAGAAAGGGAAGAAGATAGTGGTGGGAAGAGAGAGCACTTGGGCTTTAATATTTTTATTTTTTTAAGATTTTTTTATTGGGGAATTGGGGGAGGGGAACAGCGTTGGGGAATCGGGGAAGGGGAACAGACAAGTTGCTGTCCTTTTGTTCTTCAGTCTAGTTGTGGAGGACGTTGCTTCACTGGCCCATGTTGGCATTGTGATCATTGCTCTCTTCCCAGGTGAGGCAGATTGGTTGTCGGCCTCTGGACAGCCGCTCACGGAAGCTCTTGGCAGCTCACGCTGGCTGCCGGCCGTTCACGGTAGCTCATGGCAGCCCACTGCAGCAGGGGCTGCAGCCTACGCCGTCACTGGCGGCTCACAGCAGCCCAACTCCAGGTCGAGCTGCTGTTCACCATCTTAGCTGCAGAGAGCAGTGTCACTGGCCCTCATGTGGGATCTGAACCCTGGCCCTGCTGCACAGAGCTGGCGTCCCAAGCCAGCTCTTAACCAACGCGCCACTCGGCCAGCCCTGGGCTTTAATTTCTTTTTTATTTTGCATTTTCTAAGATGCGATTTCTGTGTTCTCTAAGCTTAGTTTCCCAAGTCAAAATTTTATAATTATGTAATTCTGGACAGAGTTGTTGGCTAAGGGGATCTCATTCTGTAGAAAATTGGGTATTTGTATCATAACAATAAAAAATGTAGGCCACTGTTTTCTGACTTGATGGTAATGGTGTCCCGGGAAATCATGGGGTTATCTGAGGGGTTTGCAAATCCACCAGCTCAGTTCTCATTATCTATAGACTAAATGTATATCTCTCACCTTTACATACTACTATTTTGAATATATAAATTAATAAAACAAATTTATTTGAAAGTATTAAAAATTGTCATGTTTTCTCAGTCAGTGGATACACTACTGAGCTGCTGTCTCATGGAGATCCATGAAATTTTTAGAGGTCCACATAATCTAAAAGGTTGGGAATCTGCTCTAAGCCATTTTGAGAAGAGAGCATTCACAACTTGAGTTAGAGTATGGTTATGAGGCACTCCAATTCATGGAGAGAGAGAAATTATCAACAAAGATTTAAGTTCCTTCTGTATGCTAGGCACTTCAAAGCCTTCTATCCATATCCCCTAGGCTTCTTCCCCTGAGGCTGCCAGTGTTAGCAGTTGTTTACATATCTTCCTAGAAAGCTTATATGGATCAATATAAGCATACGTATATGTGGATATATATGATATTTTGAGGGGTATATTTTTTATGATTTTATTTTTACAGTGCTCCTATCCTTTAGAAATTTTAATAAGAATATTGATAATGCTTGCTTTTAATTCTTAAGTTTGTTAGAAAACGTTTTCCTAAATAGTGGAAAATAAAAGTATGCACCTTTTAGATCCTATTTCCACTGCTGACAGGAAAACTTTTTTCAGGGCGAAGAAGGGGAATACAGTGAAGAGGAAAACTCCAAAGTGGAGTTGAAATCAGAAGCCAATGATGCTGTTAATTCTTCAGCAAAAGAAGAGAAGGGAGAAGAAAAGCCTGACACCAAAGGCACTGTGACTGGAGAGAGGCAGAGTGGGGATGGACAGGTCAGTACCTACCAAAGGCCTCCATTTGGGGGCTGGAAGAGGGGCTCTCAACCGTAGAGGGAGCACAAGGCCTTTGTCCATCCTCCAGGAGAGCACAGAGCCTGTGGAAAACAAAGCGGGTAAGAAGGGCCCCAAGCATTTGGATGACGATGAAGATCGGAAGAACCCTGCATACATCCCTCGGAAAGGACTCTTCTTTGAGCATGATCTTCGAGGGCAAACTCAGGAGGAGGAAGTCAGGTAACGCCCACTTGCTGCTGCTATTTAGTACATACTTAGTGTTTGCTATACCCTAGGCACTTTGCAAAGTGCTTTACCTGTATTATTTCACCTACTCCTCACAACATTTTAAGGTAAGTACGGTGTAATGATTATTCCTCTTGTACAAATGAGGGAAGTGAGGCTTAGAATATTGGGTAAGTCTTGGTGGAGCAGCTGGGATCCCGACCCGCACTCCACTACCTGCCTTAACCTGAGGCTCAAGGCCTCTGAAATATGAAGTACTGGCATAGGCTGCCTTATCGGAGAGAGAAGTTTCCACGGTGCTGAGTACTTTGAAGTGAAGTCTTTCCTCTTTTCTGTCCCTGTTGCATTTGAGCCCAGCAGGGCTTAGGGGCTATGATTCACTCTTGCTTTTGGGAGACACACTTTGTATAATTTGGGGAGATGGGGAGACTTACATGAGGCTCCTTCTGTTGCCCTGCTCAACCCTGCTTGTTTCACGGACGTCTTTAGTTATACACTTTCCCCTGGTTTTATCAGACCCAAGGGGCGTCAGCGAAAGCTCTGGAAAGATGAAGGTCGCTGGGAGCATGACAAGTTCCGGGAAGATGAACAGGCTCCAAAGTCCCGACAGGAACTCATTGCTCTTTACGGCTATGACATCCGTTCAGCTCACAATCCTGATGACATCAAACCCCGAAGAGTCCGGAAACCCAGGTGAGTAAATTTAAGCCTAGACTATTGGTATTGTAGGAAGCACTCTGCTTTTTAAAATACCGTTCTAGCCCATAATTGAATGGGTGAGGAAGATGGGAAGTCTCCCTGTCCCTCAGTTTATATCTCTAGTGGTCCCTTTTGTTATTTCTTAAGGCTTTCTCCATTCCATTTATTCAGGTTTGGGAGTCCTCCACAAAGAGATCCAGGCTGGATTGGTGAGCGGTCAAACAAGTCCCATCGCCACCAGGGTCCTGGGGGCACCCTGCCACCAAGGACATTTATCAATAGGAATGCTGCAGGGACTGGCCGCATGTCTGCTTCCAGGAATTACTCTCGATCTGGGGGCTTCAAGGAAGGTCGTGCTGGTTTTAGGCCTGTGGAAGCTGGTGGGCACCATGGTGGCCGGTCTGGTGAGACAGTTAAACATGAGACTAGTTACCGGTCACGACGCCTAGAACAGACTCCTGTGAGGGATCCATCTCCAGAAGCAGATGCTCAAGTGCTTGGCAGTCCTGAGAAGGAAGAGGCAGCCTCAGAGATACCAGCTCCTGCTCCTGACACTACGCCACCAGCCCCTGACAGACCTATTGAGAAGAAATCCTATTCCCGGGCAAGAAGAACCAGAATCAAAGCTGGAGATGCAGTCAAGGTTGCAGAGGAGGTGCCCCCTCCACCCGAAGGGCTGATCCCAGCACCTACAGTTCCAGAAACCACTCCTCCTCCACCTGCTAAGACTGGGAACTGGGAGACTCCAGTGGATTCTAGTACAGGTGGACTTGAGCAAGACGTGGCCCAACTAAATATAACAGAACAGAATTGGAGTCCAGGGCAACCTTCGTTTCTGCAACCACGTGAACTTCGAGGTAGGTACCTTAGGGTTAGTAACTAGGTTTTTTCCTTGGCATCATTGGGTTTAGGAGCATGGGACTTATATCTCTTAGGGATGTGGTGTGTGACAATTATCTGTGTTTTAATTAGCTACAAGAAACAGATGGATTCCTGTGTATATTCATCAAAGGATCTCATAGTAGTTTTATCTGTTACCAAAGACTGCCCCACTACTTTGCCTACTATTAACTGACCGATCATCGATAATGAGCTCCTGAGCGCAGAAAGTAGTATTGTTGTTATTTAAGCTAATGGGTAAAGTTTGAAGGCAGAAACCTATTCATTTGAATTTGGATGAGTATCTTCTAACCTCTTTGAAAGGAAAGCCTCTCTGATTTCCATAATCTTAAGAGTCAGGCTGCCCAATAGACCTTTCCGTAATGATGGTGCTTTTCAATACTTGCAGTGTGGCCAGAGGAACTGAACTTTTAATTTTAATTAATTAAAATTTAAATAGCCATATGTGGTTAGCAAATAACATATTAGACTGCATAGTTCTAGAGACGAGGCCCTATCTGCCACCCCTTTTGCCCATCCTTTGTCTTCCTCCAGCCAGATAACATCAAAGGATGTTTTTCCTTAGTTTCTGACATCTAATTTGAACAGATTGGAAATCCTCGTATAGACTTGGAGTTCTAGCATCTTTCTCTGGTGCACATGGTTTTTGAACACCAAAACCAATGTAGCCTAAACTGGACCTGGAGTTGATCTTTGGATAGAAGAGTTCACCCTCCTACCAATCTTATTACCATTGGAAGACAGTCTCCAGGATGTAGCCCTTTTTTTGTCCTGAGCCGTTTTCAGCCAGAGGGGACTCTCTTCCCAAACTTTCAGCTCAGACCTCTGTGGCCAGAAATAATCAGGTAGATTTACAGAACATCCCTCCCCTGTCTAGTTGGGTCAGAAACTTTTGGGCTGAGATTTTTCACTGTGTTTGATAATGTAGTGTGCTACTAGTGACCTCCCAGGGGTTCTGTACAGGGAAGTATTTGGTGGAGAAAATTTGAACTTGTATTTTCTCACTGAGGTAATTTTTTTCATGTTCAGAGGCTTTATGGCTATATTAATGTAGTGGGTAATGGGGGCAAATTTCCAAATGCTGGTGTTGATAGGAAGCAGAGATGTTTTAAAAGGAATTTTGTTGGTTTTAAAGCAGAAAGCCATTCGCCATGTTGGGTTCTTCACCCTGTCATTTTCTTGATGGTATCTTTGAGTCCCTCTCATATCTGTCTACTCTGCAGCAGTGATTTTTTTTTTTTTTTTGTATATTACAGGGATGCACAACCACATACACATGGGAACAGGACCTCCACCTCAGTTTAACCGGATGGAAGAAATGGTACAGAAGGGCAAGTGGGGTACATGGAGATGGGGAGGGGGCCGTATGTAACAGCTTGTTCATTATTTAAACCAAGATAAGGTCTTGAAGTCAGTTTTTCCATCGATTTACCCGTGATTCTTTTAATATGGATCTCTACAAATGTAGAATAGAGGGTTTAGGCTCAAATCTTGATTTTTTTCAATGCATTTTGCAAATATATTTTAAACATCTGCCATGTACAAAGTAAGTGTTTTGCACCTAGAGGAGGATGGAACTTGATAGGAGAGTCTGCCTTCTGGAAGTCTTGCTCAGTCCTCTTCTTTATTTCAGGGTGTCCAGGGTGGGCGAGCCAAACGCTATTCATCTCAGCGGCAAAGACCTGTGCCAGAGCCCCCTGCCCCCCCTGTGCATATCAGTATCATGGAAGGACATTACTATGATCCATGTGAGTTTTTTTCTTATTGTTGGGGTACTTTTTTTGGCAGGGTGAAGTGATCTAAGAGACCAGCTTCCTGCCTGCTGAATTTCCTTTCTCACCTCTCACAGGGTTGTCATTGTCTGGTTACTGTTTTCTTCACACACAAAAATTGAGAACATCTCTTAGAGGGTTTGGGGGACAAGGAGACTTGTCCATGTGATATGAAGAGTGAGGGTTTATGAGAGTCCCAATGTGATATCTTACAGTGCAGTTCCAGGGACCAATCTATACCCATGGTGACAGCCCTGCCCCACTGCCTCCTCAGGGCATGATTGTGCAGCCAGAAATGCACCTTCCCCACCCAGGTAAGCATTACACCTCTGCTTGTATGTTTCTCGTACATGAGGACATGTGTTGGGGGCTTATAAACCCCATCCTCCTGAGCTATGTGCTGCTTGCCTATGAGGCTGGCCACTTTGGTTGCTTGGGCAACAAACTCCTCTTGGGTCCATCCTGAGGACTTCCATCCTGAGCCTGTTTATGCTGAGCAGTCCAGCCAGGCGCCCCCATGGAAATGGTATTATCTTCTATTTCAATTTCTGTTTTCTTCTCCTTGTCCAGGTTTACATCCCCATCAGACACCGGCACCTCTGCCCAATCCAGGCCTCTATCCCCCACCCGTTTCCATGTCTCCAGGACAGCCACCCCCTCAGCAGTTGCTTGCTCCTACTTACTTTTCTGCTCCTGGCGTCATGAACTTTGGTAATCCCAGTTATCCTTATGCTCCAGGGGCACTGCCTCCCCCACCACCTCCTCATCTATACCCCAATACGCAGGTGAGATGGCTGGTGATCAGATTTTTCTAAGTACACATCCTTTAAATCAGACAGAATATGGTATGGGGAGAATGTTCAAGAAATTTGAGAAAACCTTTTCAGTGCATGGCATGTGGTGCCAGGACGCCTCTTGGTGGTCAGGAGCTGGGAATGCAGCTTATGTAATGCCCATCGTCTGTTTATTCGCTTCCATTTCTGTACTGGTATTTCATTCAAGTGTTTTAGTTCATCTTAGGTGGCTATTTATTCAGCTGCATAAAGAAACTTCTACTTACCAGCCCTACCCCTCCCTGTACTGCTTAACTGCCAACAGGTTGACACCATCTGGTATCTGGAGTGTCTGTCACTCCTGAGCTCGGCCTCTTCTGTTTGTCAGCTGCTGATAGGAATTAGAGAACGCTGGGCAGTACTTTGAAGAAGTAGAAACCAGAACATAATTAGGACATACTAAGGCAGAAATTAATCGTTTTATTTTAAAAGAGGGCAGCTTAGATTTAAAAATTATAAATTCCCCAGCACTCTTATTTTGTGCCTGAATAATGTATTCTGTTCATCATAGTTTGGACTAATTCCTAACTTTTTCTTCTGGCTTATTGCGGTGTCCAGGCCCCATCGCAGGTATATGGAGGAGTGACTTACTATAACCCCGCCCAGCAACAGGTGCAGCCAAAGCCCTCCCCACCCCGGAGGACTCCCCAGCCAGTCACCATCAAGCCCCCACCACCTGAGGTATGAGAGCTTCTTCCTATGCTTAGGTCACATCATACATCAGTGGGCTTACCTTTTCTCCATAAGATTTCTCTCCTTTTCTGGCTATGTTTCTGTGGAAAACAGTCTTTTTTGTTTTTTTTAATGACCTGATAAATTTCAACTTTATTATTTCAGGTTGTAAGCAGGGGTTCCAGTTAATATGAGTTTCTGAATATTTTAAATCTGACATGATATAAAAGTAAGTGCACAACTTACTATGACTCTTACAACATTCTTAAAACTAATGCTCATGCTTACTTGCTTAGCAAACAATTGCCTAATTAATGCTTTAAGTTGTAATCATGGGTTATCTTTGGGGGAGGCTTAAAGAAGTCCCCAAATTTGCCGGTTTCTTTGTATCATGAATGCATTGATCAGGGTTGAAGTATAATAGAAACCATTGTTAACTTGGCAGTATTTCATTTGGGAAGCTGCAAGGAAAAAAATGCAGGAGTGCATATTTTATTAAGGAAAGAGGAAATCTAAATTTGAGGTGTTAGAGCAGAGCCAATTTTAAAGGTCATGGAGGAGAAACACCATGGAGGGTTTGTTGTTTTGTTGTTTTTTTGTTTTTTTTTTTTAGGGACAGACATTACTTTCAAACATTATTCAGAATGTTGCTTTTTGAAAACAGCTTGTAAATACCCAGAAGGTCCACTAACACTTTGGTGATTCTTCCCTTTTTCCCACCCCTGTCAGAACAGAAGAGGTGAGAACCCAGGAAAGAAGAGAAATATAACTGGCTGTCTACTACCAGGAGGGCTTCAAAGATAGAGGGTGGCTCCTGCCAGCAAGCAGCTGAATGAAGAGGACCCCTGCGTTCCTCTGAGGACAGGCTCTGTTAGAAAAAGGGAGAAACACATGGACTTCCTCTCATCTCCTCTCTGAGTTGGCTGTGCTCAGAGGAGCAGAGATCCAGACCACCCCAGCTACTGAGTCTACATCTAGAAGCCCAGGTCTTTGGCTTTTCTTCACTTTCTCTTGGGAAATTCAAGTGTCTTCTGCTACCGGGAAGGAGGCTCCTTCCTATTTGTTTTGTTTTCTAAGATGTTTGTTTTTAAAGCCTGACTTGCTATTCTTAAATTAATATTCTTTTTTTTTTTTTTTT